CGTGACTTTGTTTATAAACAATGAAGCTGATAACGTGACTGTTTATAAACAATGAAGCTGATAACGTGACTGTTTATAAACAATGAAGCTGATAACGTGACTTTGTTTATAAACAATGAAGCTGATAATGTGACTGTTTATAAACAATGAAGCTGATAATGTGACTGTTTATAAACAATGAAGCTGATAATGTGTCTTTGTTTATAAACAATGAAGCTGATAATGTAACTTTGTTTATAATATAGTTTGAATATAGTAAATAATTCCCAGAATGGTTTTCATATAAAGAGTAACTTCGATTTCTTAGGCTAAAGGTGTCAACTGGTGTGTTATTGGAGATGAAAACTATGGTGAAGGAAGTTCCCGAGAACACGCTGCACTTGAACCTCGGCATCTCGGGGGAAGAGCCATCATCGTAAAGAGTTTTGCCAGAATTCATGGTAATACTGTACAATTCTACATACGTAATAAATTGTTATTGTTTGCTTTGTAAGAAGTCTTAAAATCTAGGGTTTGATTCCACACAATGGAAATGAGGCAGATAGTCCTAGCTTTGTGCTAAACACAAATAAATGGTAGAGCAGTTACATTAACAGAAAGTGGAACAAACAAGTTTTGTTTTATGTGCTGAAAATTAGATATATGTAAATTTTTATCCATGGTGTTACGTTAAGCTTAGAAATGGAAAAATAGAAGGATATGTTCTCTACTAAACACTTTTACTGCTTCATCTTGAGAACTTGCTAATAAATATAAGAATAAAACAACACACTTGTCTAGTAAAAAGGATAAAACATAACACACTTGTCTAATAAAAAGGATAAAACATAACACACTTGTCTAGTAAAAAGGATAAAACATAACACACTTGTCTAGTAAAAAGGATAAAACATAACACACTTGTCTAGTAAAAAGGATAAACATAACACACTTGTCTAGTAAAAAGGATAAAACATAACACACTTGTCTAGTAAAAAGAATAAAACAATCTTAGCAAAAGGAGTTTCCTAAAAAAAACTTTTAATACGAAATATAGAATAATACGTATTTGGATGTATATTTTCAATCAAAAAATATTGTTATCATTATAAAAGTATTTTTATTTTCTTCCCTAGAAACTAACTTAAAGAAACAAGGAATGTTACCGCTTACTTTTGAAAACCCAGCGGATTATAACAAAATCAGACCAAATGACAAGGTTTCGCTTTTAGGTCTTAAAGATTTAGCTCCCAGCAAGGTGAGAATTTAAATTTCTACATGAAGTGTGCTTATAAATATTTGCTTGTTTTTTATTAATAGATAATATCTAACATTGCCTTTTTATTTTATTAATATTTATTTTTTGTATGTAAAAGATGTATTTGTCAATTGAAATATTAAAAGTAATAGAAAATACATTTTGTGAATGTAAAATGATGTACGGAGTATAATGAAGTCACGTGGTCGGTCAAATTGACCGAGCCCATATTGAGAGAGTTGAAGGTTCCAAGTTGGTATTTTTTATTCACTAATATTAATCGTTAGAGGTAAAATGTACCTTTCTTCATTATAACATCATTTGGAGTTTTGAATAGTTAGTAAGTTGTAAAGTTTAGAGGTCGTCTTTTGATACAGATTAGTGTACAGTGAGAGAAAACAAGTTGTCTCAAAACTAATAATAATTCGTTAAATGAAATAACTTTTTATAATTTACTGAATGAAAAAAAAACCACAGTGCCAAAAGAATGCGTTATGATAGATGTTTTGTTCATGGTCATTGACATTTTGTAATATTAAATCCTTTACCTAAGGTATTCTTTGTATAAAAACAAAACCAAAACCTTCATTCCTTGAGCTGTAGTTTCTTTGTTTTTACTGTAAGACCAGTTTCTGCAAAACAAACAGGAATTATAAATATTGTCTGTTTAGAATGGTTATTATAAACTGAATATCTCGAGTTTCTTAGCTTATATATACCTTGGCTAGTACATATGAATAGAGTTGAGAGTTATACTTGTTTTTATATTAACATATCATTGTCATTAAGATGTATGCCTTAAAATTATAACTATTATTATCTTTAGCAGTCTTGTATGTAGCATAAAAATGTTTATGTTCATCATGAATATCCAGTTACAGACTACATTACCTCTTGTGTAACCTGAACCAATGGTTCATTACCTCTTGTGTAACCTGAACCAATGGTTCATTACCTCTTGTGTAACCTGAACCAATGGTTCATTACCTCTTGTGTAACCTGAACCAATGGTTCATTACCACTTGTGTGACCTGAACCAATGGTTCATTACCACTTGTGTGACCCTGAACCAGTGGTTCATTACCACTTGTGTGACCTGAACCAATGGTTCATTACCACTTGTGTGACCTGAACCAGTGGTTCATTACCACTTGTGTGACCTGAACCAATGGTTCATTACCTCTTGTGTGACCTGAACCAATGGTTCATTACCTCTTGTGTGACCTGAACCAGTGGTTCATTACCTCTTGTGTAACCTGACATGTGTCTTGATCAGTAGGTTGTGAACATGTGCAGATAAAACCATGGTATTATTAGCATATTACAACATATAAGCAGGATACTTTACTAAGAGATAAGATCTAAAATAAAAACTGCTAATCAAAAGATGAGGCTGCTAATAATTTGTATTTTTGACTATCTCAAAGTTTGGAAATATAAATATATTTTTATACATGAGCATGAGATCATTCTTCTGATGGATATGTTTTTTTCCTTTAGCCTGTTAAGTGTGTTGTCAAACATGAAGATGGAACCAAAGACACCTTCAATCTCATGCACACATTCAATGAAACCCAGATTAGCTGGTTCAAGGCAGGCAGTGCCCTAAATCACATGGCAGAAGTAATGAAAAAGTTGTAGTCAAGATAGCCACTGTTTAATTGGATACGAATAAATGTCTGGAGCTATGTTTCAGCATAGGACTATTTATTCTGTCATTAGATATAACAAAATCACTTAGGTTCAAAAATGGTCTACAAATCCAAGTTTATCAGAGCATCTTTTATTCATTGTAATGTAGTTACTACCTCGGTTTACGTTCGTATCCAAGAGTAACAGAGTATGTTTTGTTCATTGTAATGTAGTTACTACTTCGGTTTACGTTCGTATCCAAGAGTAACAGAGTATGTTTTATTCGAGAATGTATGTTTTTTATCTTGGTTTATGTTCTAGTCTTTAAAATGCAATATATGTAATCCAGGCCAGTAGTTTGTTTTAAGGTATTGTTTATTTTACATGACAAAGAGATACAACAAGTAAAAAAAAGTACTTTGTGTTCAAGTATTTAAATAGTAATAATTTTTTTACTTTCATTGGTCAACATCAGTTATATTTCTGGAACATGTCTACAGTCATATACAATTGTAGGTAAACACATAAATACTGTGTAAAGTGATGTAACGTAAAGTTAAGAACCTTTATTACAGAACAAAAAGTTTATATGGAAACCAGATGCTGTTCTATCATAGTCTACGTAAACTTTATTTTAGATTCATATATAACTTTATATAGATCGTAGACCAACATTACAAAACAACTTTCTAGGAAAACACAAGAAATTATTATTAGCTACAGATCATTTTATGTAAACAAATTCTTTGTTAGCGATTTTATAATCTGTAAAGATTTTATTTAATGATTGCCAGAACATTTTGTTGTATAAACTAGATAGATGTTTCATCTGGTGATTAGAATATTTGTCAATGAATAAAATATTAGTAATTCTTTAGAATTTAATGTCTCGTTTATTTACTAGTTAGTACTGGTTACTAAAACATGTTCTGTAACATCTAGAAACGTCACATTTTTTACACATTAATTACAAACGTCTCATTTTGTAAACTTCTGACGATGATGTTTAAAAATATCTTGGATGTTTTAGACAGTGTATGTAAGTCGCTTTGTAGATTTCAGCTAAAACTTTAAACCCTAAATATGGTCTAATATGATGTTTTGATGGACAGTATAATAAATAAATGTAAAAAAACTGCCTCTCATTGATGACCTAGCTAGATTTTTACAATACATAAATTATTATGGATAAAACTGAGTCTATGATGGTATGAGATGTTTAATGTGCTATACCGAAAATAGCTGGTGGGATAACCCTTTCACCCAGTTGGTAGAGCACTTGCCTGGCAGTAGATATAAACTATACCAAAAATAGCTGGCGGGATAACCCTTTCACCCAGTTGGTAGAGCACTTGCCTGGCAGTAGATATAAACTATACCAAAAATAGCTGGTGGGATAACCCTTTCACCCAGTTGGTAGAGCACTTGCCTGGCAGTAGATATAAACTATACCAAAAATAGCTGGTGGGATAACCCTTTCACCCAGTTGGTAGAGCACTTGCCTGGCA